AGGTGCAGGGGCAGTGAGAGGATTCACCAGAGACATGGTGGGGAGCAGAACAGGCTGACTGATGAAGTACACTGGTGAGGGGAGCAGTGGGCAGGTCAAAAGAGGTCTGCTACTCCATGTGGATCACCTGGGGGGCGGGGAGGGGATCTAACTCATTCTGAAGTAGCTTTAGCTTCTTAGTGCTGTGCTCTAATCCAATGTGGCACCAGGGAGAGCTCAGGATATGGTTTCAAATTTTTAAACCTAACTCCTTACCATTTCATGATTTGGCTTCTACCATTCTCATTTCCTGATTCTGTCCCCTTCAAAGTTTCTTTCAATGAGGAAGTCCCAGTATGTTATGTAATACACATTACTTTGTATTTCTCTGTCTTTGTTAGCATCTACATGGGATTGTCCTCATGAAGCCAATTTTTATTCATGCAGAAAAGTTTATTACAAATCATCTTTTTTCCAAGAAGTATTTGTTGACTCTTTGATGCTCTTATTAGATGCTCCTTATCTGTGCCCCAATAGAGGCTGGTCTCTCTTCTCTAGGGTTTACCATTCTGTGCATCAAATATTGATGAACTTGTTCAATAAATCTATAGTTTTAATTCATGATGAGTGCAAGAACCAGGTTTTTTTTTTCTATTAGCAATCTCTGTTCCATAACAGATGTCTGATAAATGTTTGTCAAATAAATCAAATTTTCATTTGAAAATTATAAAACATTACAATGGCCTTATTTTTGCTTAATGACATTATTTATCACAGTTATGGTTTCTTTGCTGAGTTTTGGTAAGAAAGTCAAATTTTCTTCTCCATAAAAGGTATTTTAAAGAGAACTTCTCAGAAAGAAGTATTTGGAATCTAGGATTATGCAGAATATTCCGCATTCTGTTCTCTTATACTGTGTGAAGTATATATATATGGCATATGCTAGATATACAACAAATACTTTTGGTTAAAGATCACCAAGTGCTTTATACTGATTCTTTTTGACAAACTGCCAAGTTAAGTGTGGGAAGAAAGCAGTAAAATGGCAAGTGGTTCTGGAATTTGGGGAATGGCCAATGCTTATCCTATGGAAAGCAAAGATATTTACAGTAGGAGCACTGTTCAAAACTTGGAAGTAATTTTAGTTCATTGGTGGAGTTGAAGTATCAGGAAAATGAATTCTGATCCAAGCAACTCTGTATGACACGAGAGACATGTGTTAAATATTTTCTTGCTGTGGGTTTTTGTTGGTTTGGTTGGTTGGATTTAACTGAAGGATTAAAAAGAGCAAATAATAGATTTAAAACATTTGGAAAAGTAAGTAAATATTGGAAATAGAGAATATTGTTATTTACATATGTATTGACTTATTTTCAAGGACACTTTTGAAACTAATCTGGAAACTTTCTTATGAAGACAGTAAAATATATATAGCCTTATTATAGGATTCCTTTTTTTTTTCTGTTTTGCTAGCTTTGGTTAGAGAGTTGAAGTGATAAATAATATGGGCATTTGGTTATTGAAAGAACTTGCTTGTAGAAGGTGAGGCATGGATAGTTCTAGGGGAAGACAGTGAAAGGAAATGTGGTTTATGTGTAAAACTGTGGTGATCCAACAACAGTGGTGCACTCAATGATTACTTTAGTCCCTCATGACTTAGTAGCTCGTCCTATACTTACAGCTACACAATGACAAAGTATTAAATTTAGCATTTTACTTGGGAGCTTTAGAATAAAGCATTATGTAGGAATTAACTAAGAATTGTTTACAATGACTGGATTACATTTTTTTTTTTTTTTGCCTGTAGCATACATACTATCTTTGGATAGTTTCTACTACCCTATTGTATATAGACTTTGCTTCTAAATCAAATATCTATTTATATTTAGGGCTTTAAAAGGGGTTTATTGAGCATAACATATATATTGAAATGTGCAACAGGAAGCATACAGAAAAATGCAACTCAATATATTTTGCATCATGAACACACTTAGGTAACAGAACAAGAAAGCAGAATCTATCTAGAACTCCACAAACACCCCATGTATCTTCTACCAGCCACGAGTCCTTTACCTCAAAGAAGTTATTATCCTAACTATTGCAGATGTTAGTTTTTTTTGCCTCTTCAACTACTTTGAAAACAGTTTGGGAATGGCACCATTTTCAAATGCCAAAATTGCATATACATATGGACATGTCTCTGGACTCGAGTTATATTTGAGCTTTACATATGTGGTGTCATTAGTATGTAATCTCTTGAATTTGGATTCTTTTGCTCAATATTATGTTTGTGAGATCTTCCCATGTAGTATTTAATTGAGTTAATTGATGAAAAGATAATTTATATATCCATTCTACTATTGATGAACATTGAGTTGTTTCTAGTTTTTGCCTTTGATGAACTTTACTTCTATGTACATATCGATGCATTATTTTTGTTGTATGAATGTAGGCATTCTGCTGGGTTGTTTTCTTGGGTTGAAATAGTTGGGTCATATAAATACACACAGTTTTAAAAGATATTATTGATTAGTGTTCCAAAGTGGTTTTTCTAAGTGATACTCTTATCAGCATCATAAATAATTTAGTTGCTCTACAGTCTTACTAAATTGATATTAGCAGTGTTTTTCATTTCAATTGTGTAGTGCTATCTCATAGTATTAATTTGTATTTCTCTGATGACATTTTGTATGCTCTAGATATGAATCTTTCTTGTTGCAAATATTAAAATATCTTCTCTCTTTAATAATCTTAAACATCTTAATCATAAATAATTTTGATAAATTTTAGTTAATCATTTTATTCCTTTATGGATGGTGATTTTTCTGTTTTGTGAAGAATAGAAAATATTACATCAATAGAATTTATTAAACATGAAACAAGCCATAAAGGGATGCATTTATTATATCAAAATTAAGAACTTTCTTACATCAGAACAATTCTTTTTTTTTTTTTTAAGATTTATTTATTTATTCATACAGAACTGGGGTACAGGCCAGAGATGTGGAAAGTGAGAAGATTCACCAGAGACAGAGTGGGGAGCAGAACAGGCAGATCGACGAAGTACACTGCTGAGGGGAGCAGCGGGCAGGTCAGGAGAGGTCTGCCTCGCCATGTGGGTCTCCTCCAGGGCAGGAGGGGATCGAACTCATGCTGAAGTGGCTTAAGCTTCTTAGTGCTGTGCTTTAACCAGGGAGGGCCCAGAACAATTCTTAAAGAAAATGAAAGTGTACACAAATAAGTCATTGGCAATAACAAACCAAGAGATTAATAATAACTCATTATTCTCAAATATTTTCACAAATCAGTAAGAAAAGTAAAAGAAAAATAGGCATGGAAAGAATAAAGAGATATTTGATCTCATTAATGATCAGAGATATGCAAATGAGAAACATTTTTTCAAAGGTTTCAAAGATAAGTCAATTTCAAATTTTAGACTCTTAAAGTGCTACATGTTATAAAGACTTTGAAGCAATAAAATCTTTTGTGCATTTCTTAAAAATATTTTTATACATTTGCTTGTGGGAGTGCAATTGGTACAACTAGTTTGAAAAAGTTCTGGTATGTCAGCATTTTCAAATGCCAAAGTTGCATATACATATGGGTATGTCTCTGGACTCAAATCAATTATATTTCTGGTATTGGTTGGTATGTAGAAATGCAGTTGACTT